AACGTGAACTCCGCCTGCTGAGGACCAAGGACGCTTTTATAAATTTTCCCCCAATTTAAAAAAAAATCAAGATTGAATCCACATAACATAGAGTTCCCTGTCTCTGGGTGTGCGGGCCAGTGTTTCTTCCTGGACCCGCAGCCTTGCTCCACGTTACCACCACTATCCTGAACATTTTCAAAAAAGAGACTCCAGAGCCATTGGCAGTCATGCCCATTCCCCCTCCAAGCCCCTGGCAACCATGACCACTTCCTGCCTCTGTGGATTTGGACAACCCATATATGGCGTCACGTGGCCTTTTGTGAGTGGCTTCTTTCATCCTGGTTTCAAGGTTCATCTGTGCCTTAGCACATGATCACACTTCTCTCTTTTTTCAGGGCCAAATAATGTTCCACTGTGCAGACAGACCACACTTGGCTCATCTGCTCAGCAGATAATGGACGTGTGGGTCGTTTCTACTTTCGATCTCTTGTGAAAAAGCTTGCTGTGGAGATCTTTTTGAGTTCTTGATGATGGGAAGGAAAGAAAAGGCAAGAGTTTTTCCAGAAGCAGATGAGGCAGGGTTGAAAAACAGAGACCAACATTACTGGGGAAGTCTTCCCTGAGGCCAGTGTGCTGCAGGAGGGAAAGAGAATCAGAGGAGGCGGAGGCAGGTGTGTGTGGGGGTGGGGGATGACCAGGTCTTGGGCCCTGTGCACTCTGTGCTTCTGGACACACAACTCCACAAGGAGAAGCCGAATCCCGCAAGCTCTCTGAAACTGTCAACAGCTTGTCGATCGCGGCTGGAGGAGCGGCCTGCTGCAGGACTAGGACCTCAGCATTTATTTTTCTCTGGGCTTTTCTTGCTGTTTCCCTTTCAGGTCACCAGGTTCTCCTGGAGGTTTATAGATACCATGCACTTCCTCTAGCACCTGATTGGCCGGCCCTGGTCACTCCCCAGCTTCTTCTCCTTGACACCCCTCCCCGGTTCTCCGGTAGGTCTCTTGCTGCAATCCAGTCCCTGCACCTGGTCCCAGTGAAATCCAGAGCCGAGTCCCTCACTGGAGCCCTGGGGGCCCCAGTCAGTGTGATCTCATACCAGGGACAGTGGCCCTGCTGTGGGCAGAGCCTGTCACCTGGGGAGTTGGGCTGTATTTTCTCCCGCTGTGTTATGCGTGTTTAAGGTACTTTATCTCATGTTCCTTCTGTCCTTCAGTGTTTTTGGGTACGCGGGTAGTTGTCTCCTACAATTTAGTACATGGAATATAAGAAAAAGAGACAGGGTCCTGGCCCCAAAGGAAAGGAACAGAGTGGGACTTGCCCTGCTGTCAATGACAAGTTCTGGTTGGCTCCTTTTGGGGGAGATTTCCTGTCCCACCAGGCAGGAGCACCCGCAGGTATCAGAAGCGTGAGGATATTAGATAGCAAGGCCTGGGCTCTAGGGGACTTCTTTTTG